TAAATCTGTGTTGAATTTTGTCAAAAGCTTTTTCTGCATCTACTGAGATTATCATATGGTTTTTATCCTTCAATTTGTTAGTATGGTGTATCACATTAATTGATTTGCATATACTGAATAATTCTTCCATCCCTGCTATAAAACCCACTTGATGATGGTGTATGATCCTTTTAATGTGCTGTTGGATTCTGTTTGCTAGTATTTTGTTGAGGATGTTTTCAGCTATGTTTATCAGAGATATTGGCCTGTAGTTTTCTTTTTTTGTGACATATTTGTTGGGTTTTGGTATCAGGGTGATGGTGGCCTTGTAGAATGAGTTCAGCAGTGTTCCTCCCTCAGCTATATTTTGGAAGAGTTTGAGAAGGATGGGTGTTAGCTCTTCTCTAAATGTTTGATAGAATTCGCCTGTGAAGCCATCTGGTCCTGGGCTTTTGTTTCTTGGAAGATTTTTAATCACAGTTTCAATTTCAGTGCTTGTGAATGGTCCATCTATATTTTCTATTTCTACCTGGTTCAGTCTCAGAAAGTTGTGCTTTTCTAAGAATTTGTCCATTTCTTCCAGGTTGTCCATTTTATTGGCATATGGTTGCTTGTAGTAATCTCTCATGATGCTTTGTGTTTCTGCAGTGTTTGTTGTTACTTCTCCTTTTTCATGTCTAATTCTGTTGATTTGAGTCTTCTCCCTTTTTATCTGATGAGTCTGGCTAATGATTTATCAATTTTGTTTATCTTCTCAAAGAACCAACTTTTAGTTTTATTGATCTTTGCTACTGTTTCCTTCATTTCTTTTTCATTTATTTCTGATCTGATCTTTATGATTTCTTTTCTTCTGCTAACTTTGGTTTTTTTTGTTGTTGTTGTTCTGTTTTTTTGTTGTTGTTGTTACGCAGGTCTCTGACTGTTGTGGAGCACAGGCTCCAGACACGCAGGCTCCGTGGCCATGGCTCTTGGGCCTAGCCACTCCATGGCATGTGGGATCTTCCTGGACCAGGGCAAGAACCCGTGTCCCCTGCATCGGCAGGCGGACTCTCAATCACTGCGCCAACAGGGAAGCCCTGTTGTTGTTCTTCTTTCTCGAATTGCTTTTGGTGTAAGGTTTGGTTGTTTATTTGAGATGTTTCTTGTTTCTTGAGGTAGGCTTGTATTGCTATAAACTTCCCTGTAAGAACTGCTTTTGCTACAACCCATAGGTTTTGGGTGGTCGTGTATTCATTGTCATTTGTTTCTAGGTATTTGTCAATTTCCACTTTGATTTCTCCAATGATCTCTTGGTTATTTAGTAGTTTATTGTTTAGCCTACATGTGTTGGTATTTTTTACAGTTTTTTCCCTGTTATTGATATCTTCTCATAGCACTGTGGTTGACAAAGATACATGATATGATATCAATTTTCTTAAATTTACCAAGGCTTGATATGTGACCCAAGATATGGTCTATCCTGGAGAATGTTCCATGAGCACTTGAGAAGAAAATATATTGTGGTGTTTTTGGATGGAATATCCTATAAATATCAATTAAGTCCATCTTGTTTAATGTGTCATTTAAAGCTTTTGTTTCCTTATTTATTTTCATTTTGGCTGATTTGTCCATTGGTGAAAGTGGGGTGTTAAAGTCCCCTACTATGATTGTTGTACTTTTGATTTCCCCTTTTATGGCTGTTAGCATTTGCCTTATGTATTGAGGTGCTCCTATGTTGGGTGTATATTTACAATTGTTATTACTTCTTCTTGGATTGATCCTTTGATCATTGTATAGCGTCCTTCTTTGTCTCTTGTAATATTCTATTTTGTCTTCAATGAGAATTGCTACTCCAGCTTTCTTTTGATTTCCATTTGCATGTAATATCTTTTTTGTCCCCTCACTTTCAGTCTGTTTTGTCCCTAGGTCTGAAGTGAGTCTCCTGTAGACAACATATGTATGGGTCTTGTTTTTGTATCCCTTCAGCCAGTCTATGTGTGTTGGAGCATTTAATCCATTTACATTTAAAGTAATTATCGATATGTATGTTCCTATTACCATTTTCTTAATAGTTTTGGGTTTGTTTTTGTAGGTCTTTTCCTTCTCTTGTATTTCCTGCCTAGAGAAGTTCCTTTAGCATTTGTTGTAAAGCTGGTTTGGTGGTGCTGAATTCTCTTAACTTTTGCTTATCTGTAGAAGTTTTTTTTTCTCCACTGAATGTGAATGAGGTCCTTGTTGGGTAGAGTAATCTTGGTTGTAGGTTTTTTCCCTTTCATCACTTTAAATATGTCCTACCACTCCCTTCTGGCTTGAAGAATTTCTGCTGAAAAGTTAGCTGTTAACCTTATGGGGATTCCTGTGTATGTTATTTGTTGCTTTTCTCTTCCTGTTTTTAATATTTTTTCTTTGTGTTTAATTTTTGATAGTTTGCTTAATATGTGTCTTGGCTTGTTTCTCTTTGGGTTTATCCTGTATGGATTTGATTGACTATTTCCTTTCCCATATTGGGGAAGTTTTTGACTATAATCTCTTCAAATATTTTCTCAGAGCTTTTCTTTTTGTCTTTTTTTTCTGGGACCCCTATAATTCGAATGTTGGTGCGTTTAATATTGTCCCAGAGGTCTCTGAGACTGTCCTCAATTCTTTTCATTCTCTTTTTCTTTATTTTGCTTCCTGGCAGTTAATTCCACCATTTTATCTTCCAGCTCACTTATCCGTTCTTATGACTCAGTTATTCTGCTATTGATTCCTTCTAGAGTATTTTTAATGTCAGTAATTGTGTTGTTCATCACTGTTTTTTTGCTCTTTGGTTCTTCTAGATCCTTGTTAAATATTTCTTGTATTTTCTCCATTCTGTTTCCGAGATTTTGGATTATGTTTACTGTAATTACTCTGAGTTCTTTTTCAGGTCCGTTGCCTCTTTCATCTTCATTTATGTGGGCTTATAGGTTTTTACCTTGCTCTTTCATCTGTAACATAATTTTTTGTCGTTTCTTTTTTTTTTTGCTGAGTGGTGCTGTATTCCTGTTTTACTGGTTGTATGGCCTGAGATGTCCAGCACTGGATTTTACAGACAGTTGGATAGAGCTGGGTCTTGGTGCTGAGATGAGGACCTCCAGAAGTTCTCACTCCTACTGATATTCCCTGGGGTTTGACGTTCTCTGTTAGTCCAGTGATTTGGTCTTAGAGCTCCCACCACAGGAGCTCAGGCCCAGCCTCTGGCCTTGAAACCAAGATCCTGCAAGTTTCGTGACATGGTAAAAAAAAAGAAAGAAAGAAAGAAAGAAAGATAAAAAGGAGCAGTACAGTATCAAAGTTAAAAACGAAATAAAATTAGAAAGATAAAAAATATATTAGGAAAAATAAAAGTTTAATTGAAACAACTGCAACAAGGTAAAATAAAACCACAATAGAAAAAAGAAAAAAAGGGTGGTAGTGGGGAACGAGCCAAAAGTAGAGAACAATAACAAAGTATAAAGAATAAAATAAAATTAGAAAAATAAAAGATTTATTAGGAAAAATGAAAATATAAGAGAATCAACAAGGTAAAACAGAACCCCAATCTAAAAGAAGAAAAAAGAAAAAAAAAAAAAACAGCCTTGGCTATTGGGGTGGAGTTTAGGCAGTGGTGGAACTAAGGCAGGGGTGGAGTTTAGGGTGGGGTGGGACTTAGGCAGGTGGGAGCATGATGTTTTTGTGTGGCCCAGGGCCTAGGCTCAGGACCACATAGCCAGAAAAGGCCCCGGGGGCGGGGTTTAGGCTGGGCGATGTTCAAGCATGGGGCGGGGCCTCTGCTTAGGACCTGCATGGAAGGGAAGAGGCAGCACGTAGAAAGGAGGGCCTCTGGAGTGTGGAGTTCCGGAGTTTGGAGGTAGGGCCCTGAGTGAGGGTGTGTGGGTGGTGTTTAGGCCCAGCACATTGAAGGGGGTCTCCGATTGTAGAGGTAGAGCCCTGGGTGGGGGTGTAGGAACAGGGCTTGAGCTCTGCGGGTAAGGCGGGAGACTCCAAGGGCAGAGGAGTAGGCCAGGGAGCCCAACAAGCTCTCCAGTGCCTAAGTGGACAGGGAAAGCACTGGCCACATTCCCTTCCATTCCTTTGCACCCCTCCCCCACTGTCACCTCCAGGGTCTTCCCTGTAGCCACTGGACCCCTAACCATGGGTGGGTGCCGCTAGGTGTAGGAACTCCTCCCCTCCCCCAGCCACCCCTCAGGGGTGCCGGTCCTAGAGGTCGGGCCTTTACTTTTGCTCCCCCTTCCCTCCCTCCCTCTCCCTCAGATCCATGTGGCTGGAGGATCCCTAGGTGGTCAGAGGATCAGGCCCAGTATCTCAGCAGGTTCCTGGGGGCCCAAGTGGGCAGGAGAAACCTGGCCACACTCCTTGTTGATCCTCTGCCCCCCCAGTGGTTCCCCAATTTCCCCCTTCGAGCGTGGGATCCCTTCGCCTCCTCCAGCCAACCCTCAGGGACGCCAGTCCCCTCTGACCTCCACTTCTTCTACCCTTACACTCCCCCCACACCCTACCTGGTTGCTGGGGGTTCCTCCTGTCCACTTAGGTGTTCGTGGTCCCCTACCAGTGCCCGGTAGGTGCCCTAGTTGTGAGGAGATGCGAATTCCGCATCCTCCTAGTATGCCATCTTGACTCCACCCCCTTATCGTATGGTTTTTATTCTTCAGTTTGTTGATGTGGTGTATCACATCGATTGATTTGCAGGTATTGAAACTGATCAATTGATAGTGATCATGGGGTAGGATCCTTTTAATGTATTGTTGGATTCGGATTGCTAGTATTTTGTTGAGGATTTTTTCAAGCATGGTATCTGATGTATGTTTTCACTTGGAGCTGATTAGAAATTGTTATTTGGGTCATATGCTGGAGATGATGTTATTCCTTACATGTTTGACCTAGGTAAGCAGATTCAAGTCTGATAATCTTAGATATTCAAATTCTGTTGTCAGACAGAAACCAAGCTCTGTTCTCTCCCGTAGGATTAGAAGATGTGTCGTTCCTGAATTCCTTTGAAGACTTTCAGCAAATTACATGACATTGTGAAGGGCAGTTGTCCTGGAATAGATGGGCTTTCTGTAATGGAAAAAGGAGAAAAATAAAGTAGGTAAATAGGGACTAGAGTGTCAGGCCACTCCTCATGGATATGGAGGTGGTTTGGAGAGCACTAACAGGCAGTAAGGGATATTGACAGCATAAGCAGGATTAAATTTAAAAAACAAGTAGGTTAAAAACTCAGTTATGTGTGGTGATCCTAATACAAGGTAGCTTCTTGGATATGTTTTGGAGCTGTCCTGAGACTTTCTGTATCCTGCTGGTATTTGTGCATCTGTAAAATGGCCCCTTTACTTTTACCATATTTGCAAAGTCATAGGTCTGAGAAGAGAGGTAAGAATGTAAAAAGATGTGCCAATCATAGGCTTACCCCTTGGGACTGTTGAACTTCAGAGTAAATTGTGGTGGAGTCATTGTTTTTCACAGGTTTTGGGATTTCCATTTCCTATAAAACACAATCATACCAATTTGGCTCACATAAAGAGAAATGTACTCATGCACAGATACAGTAAGTCCCCTACTTATGAGACTTCAAGTTGTGATATTTCAAAGATGTGAACGTGTGTTCACATGTCCAATCACGTAAGTTAGTTCACGCGTCTGGTGTACATTGTCATGTCAAATGGTTGCGTACTTGACAACAAAGTAAGTGCACAAGCTTTTGTGTACTTACTTTATGTAGCTTACTAATGAAGACTAGATAGAATTGGAGGCTCAAAGAAAGAAGAGAGACAAGAGGAAGAAGAAGTAATTGAAGAACTGAAGAGATTCACGATACAGGAAATGGAAAGGGGATTTTCTTTATTTGAAGAGGCACTGTTAGTTTTTGAGGCACAGGACCCAAATATAGAACAGTACATGAAGGTTGCAGCAGCCGTTCAGAATGCGATCCAGTGCTACCGTGTCATTTATGGTGAGAAAAAAAAGCTACTACCCAGACATCACAGGATCATTTTTTCAAGAGAATAGTTAAAATTGAATGCAGCAAGGAACCAGAACCTGTGACATCAACGTCAGGCATGGGTGAAATTGCAGCTTGCCCTCCACCTCCTATTGCAGGAGATCCTTCAGCTCTGCCATCTCCCATGTCCTCTTCCTCTGCCAGTCAGTAACTCTTCTTGCCTGTTCACTCGATGCCAGCCCCTGTATGCCAGCTCTTGTACCGTATTACTGTACTTTTCAAGGTACTGTACTGTAAGATTAAAAATGTTTTCTTTATTTTTTTTGTTTTTTTGTTTTTTATGCATTATTTTTGTGAAAAGTATTATAAACCTATTACAGTACAGTACAGTACTATATAGCTGATTGTGTTAGTTGGGTATCTAGGTTACTTTTGTTGGACGTAAGAACAAATTGGACTTACGAGCATGCTCTCGGAATGGAACTCATTTGTATGTAAGGGACTTACTGTATATTCTTGGGAAAGGCAGTGTGACAAATGAGGGATGATGTCAAAGTTCTTTAGGAGGAAGGCTAGGGAGTGTCCAGCAAGAGAAGCTGGAAACAAAGCACCACTAGCTCTTAAACCTGTGAAGGATTAGTCACCTTTCCTGAGCCCCAAACAGAAGCACAACACTCCAGCAAACTGGTGGTCTCAAGAACCAGAGAGAGAGAGAAGGGCGACCTTGTTGGCAGGTGGTGTGAAGGAAAGAAAACATTCTTGTCCTGCATCCAACTCTACTCTCCTTCCTCTATTTTTAGGAACTAACCTACACACCAGATGGTTATTGTATTACATCTTTTGTCTCAGATCTTTACTACCTATAACTGGAGTTATTGCCTGCTTCATTTTACCCCTGTGATTCTATTTGCCTGGTCATCATGTCACTGGGGTTCTCCTCAAGCATGGGGAACTGGTAGAGCAGGAATATCTTGTCTTAAGAATGGCTCTAAAAAAAAAAAAAAAAAAAAAAAGAGAATGGCTCTGCTTGGAATAAAAAGTGTGGCAGTAACAGAAGTCCCCCATCCTCATAGTTTTTGGCATTTTAAATTAACTAAGGCATATTTGGGGTGTTATCAAAACCTCTGAAACTCTCCAAAGTACCATGTTTTGCTAAGCAAAAGTTAACAAACTTGCCGGAGAGTTTCTTTGTTTGTTGAGAGTAATTCATCTTGTCTTCAAGAGGAAATTGGAAAGGCAATTGAAATATCTGAAGTGAGAGCACTTCTTATTGTTGGCTAGCTTCAGAGTCTACTTTGCAAATACCTGTGAGGGGCTTTGTGAAGGGAGATTTGCTTGTGGAATCCAAGATTTCTAGCCAGACCATTGTTTCCATCAACTGAAGAATGCTGGCTCTCGGCTTATTTTTCAGAAGACATGGAAGATGGCCTCCCAGGATGTGTAGTGTTATTTAGAAATGTACCACCTGCAGGTGCTTTATTTTGCGGTTGATGGGGAATTACTGATGCATGGCGAGGAGTTCCTGGTGCCTGACCAAAGCCATCCTGTTATGTTGCTAGAGGGCAGGGGACGATTGAGGACCGCTCATGCCTTTAGTGTCCTCTACTGTTGAGGGATTGCAAATTCTTGCCCCTCTTCCCTCTTGAGAGACTCTTCTGGGCTCCCCTATTTCCCCTACATCCAGGATGAGAAAGCCCCTGATACAAAATCATGCCCTCTGGGGGCTCTCAAGCTTAAATGAACTCTGATCCATCCAGCAAGTATTTACTGAGCATCATGCTAAGACATAGGGGAAGAGAGAGGAAGACATAATTTTCACTTCCAGGCAGCTTGTAATTAAGCTGAAGGGACAAGACTCACTGATGCGTTAAGCAGTTAGATTAAGCAATGTAAAGCAGGGTATGAGTCAACATTCTACTGAGGTGTGAGCATTGAGGTCTAGAAAGGTCCCGCACATAACTCTGCAGTTCTTGTCGCTGCCTTTGCCTCTCCTCAATGGTGTATGTCATTTGAATTTAGAAAAATTTGGTGACAAGTTCATGTATAATGACTGTGAAAATAATGACCATGAAGGAGTATAAACCTGAAAGTACTCACCCTCTTTGAATGGGTGACCTGAGCATACACAGTGCTCCCTGGAGAGAAGGAAGCATACTCTAAGTTCCTCACAGTCTCTGCTGTTAACACAGGAAGGCACAGTCAGTAGCTGAAGGACTCTGGTCTGCTCTCCCAGGACCTTGTCTACCCCAGGCCATTCTCTGACCCCAGAGAGGCAATTGTTCAAAGCATGGCCCTTCCTTAGGGTTCATTCATTTTTGACAGTCTTTGGAGTTCTGGGTTGAACCAGAACATTCTCAGCCATGTGATCTATTTCTGACCTCATCTCCTCAGGGGCACATGGTCTTGAGCTATCCTAAAGCCTCAGAGTCTCCCTCTGGCTTCACAGGAAGGGAAGCTTCTGGGACCAAATAACACTGCCTACACAGGAGCTAGAGAACCTCACTGGTGAGCATAATGGAGCCAGATTATTTCACATATATAATACTATTAAACTTTTCAGAGCTCCTTAGAGTGGGTTTGATTATATTAGAGATGAGGAACTGGAGGCTCAGAAAGTTTTACAGACTTGGTGCAAACTCACACAGGAAATGATCAGACACGAATTTGAATGCATGCCTTCTCACTCCAAACCTCATGCCAGGTCCTCCATGCATGAAGTCATGTATCTCTCACCCATGAAATAAGACTCAATGCCAGTCTGAGTCCAGAGCCTGTGTTTCTGTCTCTATATCATACTTTCTCTTTTGACTGTGTCCACTCAATGCCCAAACCCTGGCTGAAGAGAGTGATGGGGTCAGGCAGTTTGTCTTTACCCTGCACCTCCTGTTGATAATGAACAGGTCATGAGTCCTTTCACTGGCGCTTAGTCTCTCCGTTGGCAGAGTGGGGAATGACCCTAATCCTACCCCAAGAAATTGCATGAGTGACCGGTTTGCATGCTTGTAAGGGACCCTGTAAGTCACACAGGGGACAAACTTGCACAGTTCCAGGTGTTATCCCCTTGCACCATCTGGTCCATCTGAGTAATGACATTCTGACTCCCTCCTCTCTCATTATACAGCCCTCTGACTGCCCCCCTTTCCTTTTCACTTGGTTCTTCCCATCTGTTTTATGATTGGGAGTTAAGAGTCTGGAAGCTCACCAGGACACTGGGTTTGCTGAGTAGAGAACTGAAAGAAACCTGAAAAATAAAATTAATTGAAATCTGTTGAAATCTGTGACTATAGTGAGAGAAGCCTTCCACCCCCTACCCCTAGATGTGTCTCTCTAGAGGGTGTGGTGGAAGGGGACCTGAAAGGGTCCTGCATTTTCCAGTAAGACACTTTTCTAGGAGATTAGCACATGTGTATTCACAACCCAGGTGTTGTCCCAGTGGACCAGCTGAGCCAGGGTTTGCATGCTCCCTCCCTTTATCTGTCTTCTACAAGACAGAGTCTTTTGGAGGCCCCAAATGCTAAGTCTCTGGAACCTTGGAGAAGAAACAGTAAGTAGGAAGAAAGGAAACCTATTTTTTTCCTCCAAACAAATAACAGCACGATGATGACCACAACTATACATATTGAAGAAACTGCCACTACAATCCACATGGTATCCAGGTGTTCATTTTTTTCATTAGTAACACCTAAAAAGAAAAAAAAAGAAGTTGCACTTGAGACACATCGAGGAGGCCCAGAGTGGTTTTTTAGAGCCTCTACTGCATCTCTTCTAGACCATCTTTGGGAGTTGGGTGGGTTCATCTATACCCAGAGGCTCTGGGGGTATGAGCAGGCTTTCTGGGAGTGGGAGTCCCATTTAGGCAGACAGGGCATGGTGGAGCCTGGTAGAGCCAGTGTGAGGAAGCAATCCTGCCTTCCCAAGGACTTTGCTCTTGGGATCTGAGTGGGCTGGAGAAAGGGTTGGTGGAGGGGGAGGGAGGAAGGAGAGACCTCTGGGGGAGTGTGAGGCATGGAGCCCCAGGGGATGTCTGTCCCTTCCCAGTGTAACTTGGCTGTCTCCTACTGGGCTGCTGTTTTAGGAATCATAAAGAGCACAAGAGACACCCCACACCTCACAGCCACTCAAGGCTCTCAGAGAGACCTGAGACATACTTACTTTTGCAGAGACTCTGGACAGAGACAGAGAAGGATGAATTGCTGACAGGATTCTCAGCTATGCAGGTGTAGGTCTCTTCATTGAAACTCTTGGGGTCCCAGGAGATAGTAAGGTTTGCTTCACTTTGAAGTGTTTTTCCTGAGACCTGCCACCTGAATAAGATGTTATCATTTGGATTCTCCACAGAGCAGGTCAGGAGGATCTCACAGGTCCTATTATTAGACCATTTGGTGTGAGGGACAACTTGTAAGTTCCTCAGTCGTCCTGTGTGCAGAGAAGAGGCCTGGATTAAGGACAAATGTCTTGGCTCAGCCCTCTGTGAAAAATACTCTCACCTCGATGTTTCTGTATTCCACCTGACACAGCTGTGTACTCTGTAAATAACTCTGCATGTACTGCCTAATTGATGACATCAAGGTATGGGGTGACCAAATGATAACAGTCAGTATGAGACAGAGTAGGCAGTGGGAGAGAGGGAAGGGAAAGACTGGGGTTGTTGCCAACTAGTCGGGTGATTTTAAGCTGATCACTTTAATTTTTGGAGCTCCAGTTTCTTCCTGGGGGTCCTTCTAACACTTGTTCACTGCCCCTCATGTAAAGATAATTTGGAGACTAAGCTAAGGGCCAGCCCTACCTCAGCCAGGTCCGAAACCAGAAGACCAGGCATACTTCTCCATTGTCAGAATTCCCTAGATGGGATGGAAGATAAAAGCTTAACACTCTTGGAGAACTGTATTTCCCACATCTGTGGGAATATTGGTTCTCACTGGAGCTGATGCTGGCTCAAATGATGACAAAGAGACCTTGATGTAGAGTGTCACCAAGTCAGAAAGGGAAATGTTGAGAATTAAAGAATTAGGAAAGGAAGAAGTGAAGAAACAGAGAGAAAGCAAGAAATTCTGGGGAAGAAAGAAGTGCAATATATTTGGGACTACATATGTTGCAGAAATATCTGAGAGCAGAGACCAGAAAATATCACCTCTAAGGTGTCAGTGGCTGTGAATCAATGAGGACATGAAAGCAGTACAGAAAAGCCCTCTGACCTAGACTCCGCCCAAGGGTTGAAATAAAGGTGACCCAATAGAAACAGAATGACTCCAACTGTCTGATTAGAAGAGATTAAGTAATGCTTTAAGCTTAGCTAACTGAGTAGGGGTGGTGGAACATACCTTGCTAGAACAGAATTTTCATGTCATGGCAAGAATGTTGGATTTGGAGTTAGGAAGACCTAGGTTAGAATCACGGCTTTGTCATTTACTGGCTACATGGACAAATTTTAGTCTCTTCATGCCTAAGTTTCCTCATCTATAAAACTGGGCAATAATACTTACTTCTTAGGTAATTATGAGGATTAAATGAGACAGCATGTAGCACAGAAATGGCAAATATTTGGCATGAATATTACATCTCCTTCAGCCAATGTCTGTTGCTGACCTCAAAAATCTATCTTGATATCTTTCTCCACTTGATGAATATATAACTACTGACTTGACATTTCCACCTGGATATGTGTATCTCCAACTCAACATGTTCAAAAAGACTCCTGTTTTTCTCTCCAAAACCTTCTCAATCTGCAACTTTCCCCATCTTAGTTGACAACAACTGCATCCTCCCAGTCAACCAAGCCAAAAGCCCTGGAGTCATACCTGACTCATCTTTTCCTCTCGTACTCCCACATCACAAAATCCTGGTGGCTTTACTTCTAAAATATATCCAGAATCCAACCACTTCTCACTACCTCCACTGCTACCACTCTGGTCCAAGCCAGTATTACCTCTTGCTTAGATAGTTGCAATGGCTTCCTAATTGGTTCAGTGGCTTCCGCCCTTGTCCAAAGAGATCCTTTAAATAAGTAAGTTAAATTATATTACTTCTCTGCAAAACCCTCCAATTGTTGTCCATTCCCCCAAAATAGAAGCCAAAGTCCTTGTGATGGCTCTCATAGCCTTAGAAGATATGGCCCCCTACTTCCTTACTGACCTCATTTCCTATTGCTCTCTCTTACTCTGCTCCTTGATGTTTGACCTTCTTTATATTCCTTGAGCTGCCAGACACAGGGAGTGCTTGTGCAGGATGGCTCTTCATCCAGATATCTGCATGGCTCACTCTTTTACCTCCAACATGTCTTGGCTCTAATGTCATCTTCTCAATGAGGCCTATTATGATCACTCCATTTAAAACTGACCACTGCTTTCTGGCACTTCTGATGCTCCTTATTCTGTTCTAATCTCTCTTTCTCCATAGCACTCGCAGCTTACTGTGTCATTTGTTTATATATTATGTGTACTGTTTATTATTGCTCCCATATTCCCTACCCAGAATGTCAGTTCCATGAGGGCAGGGACCTTTGTTTTGTTCACTGATGTATTTCAAGGGCCTAAAACAGTGTCTCGTATATTATCCCTGGTTAACAAATATTGTTGACTCAGTGAATAAACAACATGACTCTGATATCTTTCTTAACACTGAACCCTAGACAGTTACTCCCAATTAATTGATATTGGCCCATAAGATCAAATCTTTGCCATCCCTAGCCTAGTACATACAGAACAATTGGCCAGTGTTTTTTTAAAAGAAAACCTATATAATTTATATCTTAAAATACCTTTGCACAATTGTAAAACATGTTGGTGTAGCTTACACATCTCTCTGTGTATGTGCCTTTGAAGGAGAGGCACTCCAAAAGGCCCTGAGAATCCATTGGCATTCAGCCTCAGGAGTGTGGTTGTTGCAGAAGAAGTTGTGCTTGGTCTTCTAAATAGTGGCAGAAGAAACTTGTCTCAACAAGTGTAATGGAGCCTAATACAGGGTCTAGAAGTCACAAGATTTAGGTTCTAATCTTAGCTCTGTCACTAACTGTTGTGCAATGCCATTGAATAGTTTTGTTGCTGGACCTCAGTCTAGCTCCAAATGCCATGTTTTTTACCACTAAGCTATAGTGCACACTTGCAGTCACATAGAATTGAAATATGTACTATTTTTCAGTCCATACACAATTAAACCCCATGATTTGACTCACTGAAGATCCTCAGATCATAACTGGTAAACAGTAAAGAGGTCAGTGTGGTTATCTGGGCTTTGTAATGTCCTGAGTCTGCCATCGTCAGGTTGCTGAGCTGCAAGGAATAGGACTCGGTGACATTCAATCGATTTTTCCGCTTTGGGTCAGTCACCCTGTTTAGTGCTTCATTTGGCTCTATGAAGACGGCAGATTTTCCATCATGTAGCCAGGTGATGGACATGATCTTCTCTTCCACAGGAAACTTCAGGGTAAGTGTTACAGACTCCCCCAGGACCCCGTTCACAATCAATGGGGTTGAGCTGGTTTGTGAAACTGTGTTCCCTGTGAACACAGAAAGGAAACTGCTATAACTCTCCTGCCCTCCCCCTGCTCCCCACACCCTTTCTCCATCCTCTGCCAGTCAGTTAGAGCTCTCTGATACTGAAGTCCAGAAATATGATGAAAAGGGAAACGGTTAGGAGGAGTGTTGAAATGGGCAATCACAGAGGCTCCACCCCAGCAAAATGTCTGGCACTCTTGTTTAATGAGTAGTTGGTCCAGATGATCCTGGCAAGTCTACCCTCCCACACTAGCTGGTCACTCCTGAGTCATGGCCGCACTATCTGATCCCAGCTTCTGAGTTATCTGGGCATGAGATAGAGAGGGACAACTATATCAACTCTCTGGCACAGACTTCAAAACCCACAAGTCTTTACTGATGAAATATAATCAAAGCTTGACATTTATTAAATACTTACTGTGTTCAGCATAGTAGGCTTGTGAGATTTAGAGGACTAGTAATAGGAATTTACAGTTCTTATACATTATTTCATTCGACGCTGACAACAATTCTGTGAGGCAGTAGGATGAATATTACCATCTCCATTTATAGAAAGGATCTGAGGCACAGAGAGGTTACCTAGTTTTCCCAGGGTTACCTAGCTAAGGAATAACAGAGTCGGGATTCAGACCCAACTCCTTTGACTCTAACTACTTTGTGCTCTTTCCATGATACCAGAAGATATCTTTTATTCTCCCAAAAGATTATTGTCTAGTAGTTGAGGAGATAAAAACTGATAAGCATAAAAATAATACATTTAACCTCAAAGTAACATACAATGACTATACTCTCATGAGCCTCTCTCAGAGCCATTAATGTTCAAGCAAAAAAGGTGAAATAGTCACAGTCATTCTTAAAGAAGATGTTTCTTTACCATCCTTTGCCAAATTCCTAGCATTTATCATACCATTTTTTGGCCCTCTGTTTACTTGTTTGTCCAGCTGACCATGTCTTAATTATCTTTATATCTCAGCACTGTGCCTAACACAAAGTAGGATATGGAAATGTTTGAGTGAATCAATGAATAGGTAACCATTACCACAACCTCAACCTTCTCAAGATCTCTTAATTCTCAGGAGAGGATCTGAGTAGGGGAGGAAATGTCTCTTAGGATCTTTGTACTCAGCTCCTGCGTGACCTCACACTTCCTCTCTTTTTCTCAAATTGTCACATGCATGCCCATCACATGAACACTGCCATCAATTCCCCCTCTTTACTACATCTTTCCCATCAGCACTTTAACATGCTGTTGTTTGTCATTTGACCATTCTTCCTTCTCAGAATCACATGGGTGAATATCACAAGCAAAATCTTGAGTGAAAAAAGAAAATACAAATACAAATAGAATACAGTGGCATGCTTACATTTATTTAAAGTTAAAAAACAGGCAAAACAAATCTATTATTTTAGAAGTCAGGATAGGGTTACCTTTGAGGAGGAGGGAGGGATAGCAAATAGGAGGGAGCATAGAGGGGGTTTTCTGGGCTGCTGGTAATGTGCCATTCCTTAACCTGTGTCTGGATACACAGATTTATTCATTTTATGATTATTCCTTGAGCTGACACTTAGGATTTGTAATTTTCTCTTTGTATACTATATTTCAGTGAAAGAGGTTAAAACAACAAGAAAAAACAAAACAAAGCAATTACAATGGCCTATGAGGGCCAGAATGATCTGGTCATTTTTCTCTTTTTAGCCTAATTTCCTATAACTCTCCCCCTTATTCCCTTTGCTCACACTATGCTGGCCTGGTCATTCCTTGGACAGGCCAGAGTTGTACACTTGTAATTCCCTCTGCCTAGAATACTCTTCCCCCAGGTGTCCACATGGCTCACTCTTTTGTCTCCATAAGGTCTTTAATGCAAACATCTCCTCTCAAGGAGGCCTTCTGTGACCACGCTTTCCTCACCACAAGCCCTCACTCCTGTGTACTCATTGCCTTTGAATTTGTTTTTCTCTGTAATACTTACTTTCTACCATACTCTGTAATTTGCATATTTGTTTTTTTGTTCTTTTCCCCTTCTATAAGAATGTAAGCTCCATGAAAGCAAGGATTTTTTCTGTCTTGTTCACGGTGCTGGACATTCTTGAACAGTGCTTGGCACAGAGTAGGCACCCAATGAATACTGCTGAGTGAATGAGCACAGCTCCATCCCTTGTTTTGCAGGTTCTCTGCCCAGGATGTTTAGGACCAGTTTCTCTTTGTAACGGGTCTCGGCATACCCTGTGGCCCAAAAACTCTCCAAGAACTGTTCTTCCTTCTCTAGCACAGACCTTTAAGTTTCCTTTGTTGTTATAGATTGAAATCATTCATTTATTTAACAGGCCATTCATTGTACTATTTGCTCAGCTTTATGCCAATTCAGTGAGTAAAAGCCTTAGAAATCATGGCATTCAGACCATACTTATCAGATTCATTTTATGTACCAGTTTCTGGACTGAAGACTGAATATAGAAATGAATAAGACATTATCTGTTCTCTGGACTCACCGTGTGGTAGAGGAGTCTGACAGGTAAACATGTAGCTATGGTGTGGTGAGTTAGGCGTTGACCTAGGATAGGGTTTTCTTCTGCATTGCCCTCACACCACTAATTGCACCCTGCACACTCAATATCGAGGGTTTCTTTCTCTTAGATATAGTTAAAATGTTCTTTTCCTCTATTTTTCATAATCTTGAGGGTAGGGATTATGCTTATTATCTCTGTATTCCTAGCATTTACCACAATTTTGAGCTCAATAAATGTTGAATTGATAGAGATAACTGCTCTATAGGAGCACAAATAGTGAAAATGATGGGGTAGAAAGGGTTGGGGGTTGTCAGGGAACACTTTGCAGAGAAGGTAACATTGTAGTTGGGTTTTGAATAAAAACAAGAAGTTCTCCATTGCTTGATTATTTCAAGAATGCCCGGCTCTTTCTTTGCTCCATTGTTCCCTTTGCCTGAAATACCTTGCTCACATTTTCCCATCTGGTGAGCTCCTATTTATTCTTCAAGGATAAGTTCAAATATCTGTTTGCCTTTGCTTATATTTATGGGGTTTGCATTGGTACAGGGGAGGAGACAGGAGTTTGTGGTTGGAGAAGAGGAGAAGTTATAGAAGGAGGAGAAGGGGTTGGTAGAAGTAATTCCCTGCAAGTCTAAGAAAAAAAAGAAGATAAGAGCCACTGTGCTTAAGGAAGGTGAAGGTAAGAAGTTACTGAAAAAGTTCAAAGGCTCCTCTGAAAGACTTTGGACTCTAGGAGAGCTGCTTTGGGACCCAGATGACGTGGTGTGGCCCAGAAGGCACAAGAAGGCCTTTTTCTCTACTCTGCCTGGGATCAGCACTGATGCTTTGGGAATGTCCTGGGTCAGCATCCTTGGCATGGATATCCACGTTCTCTGCAGAGCATTGAGGTCTTCTGTAAGTGGTTCAGCTGGCTGCAGATTTGGAGGACTAGAACCAGAAGAGACTAAGAATTGGGAGGATGCCTCATGACCTTAACAGAAGGCTGCTTTGGGGGCCTATGGGGAGCATCCCTTATAAGTCACTGGGAGCCACTTGGAGCATGGGGGTGGTGCTGAGGTCCATCCCCTGGTGTGGATGTTCAGTCAGCAGAAATTTGAAGTATGTTTGTTTACATGTTTCACTCACTCTGGAAACATGAGTAATGTATCAGTCAGCTCTTTATGCCCCCAGAATCTGGCCCAGGGAACTTGGAATACTAAATAGGTTGAGATCAGAATGTAAAGTGTCTTGAATGATTATCTGAATGATTTTTTTTGAATATATTAAGAAACATGGAGTATTTTTGAGAAATGCAAAGGAATAAAGAAAGCAGGTAAGGCTGAACTGATTCTGAAAAAGAGAAAAGTCAGAGAAACTTTGGGATATCTAACCTAGGGGAATGGCTTAGGCCTAGGACTGGCTTAGGCCTATCTATAGGAAAAAGAGATGTAGTGGGTTGTTTCAGCTCAGCATGAAACAAGTTCAGAAGGAGGGTAGGGGCTGATTTCTCAAGAGATTTAATAGAGAAGGGAAGAGATATATAAGGCAGGATCTTGAGTAAGACAAGTGAAAATGAAAATACAACACACCAAAACTTACAGGGTGCAGCGAACACAGTGCTCAGAGGGAAAATTTGTTCTTTGAAAAGATCAGGAAGATTGACATAATTTTAGCTAGATTAATTGAGAGAACAATAGAGAAGGCTCAAATTACTAAAATTAGAAATGGAAGAGTGGACATTACTGCAGACCTTATAGAAATAAAAACGATTATAAGAGAATAATATGAATAACTGTATGGTAACAAATTAGATAGCCTAGATGAAATAGACAAATTTCTATAAACAAACAGATTACCAAGACTGACTTAAGAAGAAATAGAAAATCTAAGAGGACCTTTAACAAGTAAAGAGATTGAATCAGTAATCAAAAACCTTCTGGCAAAGAAAAGTCCAGGACCAGATGGCTTCACTGGTGAATTCTACCAAATATTTAAAGAATAATTAATGTCAATATTTCTCAAACACTTCCCCAAAAAAGAAGAGGAGAAAACACTTTCTAATTCATCCTATGAGGCCGGCATTACCTTTACCAAAGCCAAAGATATCATACACACACACACACACACGCATGCACACACAAACTATGGACCATTATCCCTTATAAGCATTGATGTAAAAACCCTCAACAAAATATTAACAAACTGAATCCAGCTGCATATTAAAAGGATTATACACCAAGACTAATTGGAATTTATTTCAGGAATGTAAGAGTGATTCAACATATGAAAATCAATCAATGCAATATGCTACATTAATATAATTAAGGAAAAAAGACACATGATCATCTCAATTAATACAGAAAAAAACATTTAACAAAATCCAACACTGTTTCACACATAAGAATCTAAAAATAGAAGGGAAATTCCTCACCTTGATAAAGGGCATTTGAGAAACCCACATCTAACATTCTATTCAAGAATGGAAGGGACTTCCCTGGTGGTGCAGTGGTTAAGA